CCCCCCCCCGATTTTTCACATATGCTATCTGGTCACTCTACTTTCAACATAAAAGCTAGACTTCCTTCCTTCTGAATTCTTTTTAAGTCATTAGTCATAACATCCAAGGTTAATATAAGTGAAAGAGATCAGATATTTTCTCTCTCTATTTTCAGTTTTCTTACTTCGTGTGTTTGACCATACTTTGTATATAGTCAGTTTAATTGTTTTCTTTAAATACGCATTTCCCTTGTTTGTATACCTTTCATATAGCAAGAGGGAAAACTGATTATAAAGTCACAACAGATAGGTTCAACGGCAAATGTGGTACCTGAAACTACTATACTTTATTTTATTTTTCTTTAATACTGCTGAGATTTCATATTGATGGTGGCCCTTTGAGTCTGTGATGCAAAACAATAGAAGCAATAGTTTTTGGGGCCAGATTTTTAAATAGGGCCTGTAAAATTGCATTCAAAATACCAGTATTTCCATAATAATACTTTGCATTTCTGTAGGGCCTTCCATCCAAGGAATTGAAAGTGCTTTAACATAAGAATTAATCTTCACAGTATGCTGTGAAGCAGTTATCCTCATTTTACCGATGGAGACACTGTGGCACAGAGGTTTTAAGTGACATGTCCAAGGTCATACAAGAAGTCAGTGGCAAGGACAGAAATAAAACCCCAAACTCCTATCTATCCCTTTGCTCTAACCACAAGATTATCCTTCCAAAAATCAGTAGCATGATGAACAGCTACTTAGTTTTCATGAGCAAACTTAGGATATGGTACAGTCAAAATTGCACAACAGACTTAGAAACTGAGCTAAGACCACTTGTAACATTTGGTTCTCTACGTTATGGCTGACACATCATCCTTCAAGTGACTTCTAGTTTGGTACATAACTTCATATAGAGACTCCTGCAATCCCTAGGCATAGTGCAACCAGCTAAGATGGCTCCTTTTCCCAACCCTGCACAAAACGGTCTTTGAATACTCACTTTGCTTCTTCCTCTAGATAATCTTTCTATCAAAACTATATGAGACTACAATTATGCAAGCTGCCCAACAGAGCACTCCCCTAACATCTGTTATGTGCCCGGCCAGATGATGAGCTCTGAATGCAGCTGCAATTCTGCCAACTCCTCCCACGTAGCAGCGGATGGAAAATGATCTGTACTGAACTCAAATAAATGATATTTAACCCTCAGCAGCAGCACTGTAATACATTTCATGCCATAAAATAATTGCCTCTCAGTAGGTCATGGATGATCACCACATGCTTTATATCATTAGCCACCGCAAAGAGCTTGATTCCTGTTCCTGGCATCTTCATTAAGTGTTTCTAGAATTTTCAATCAATCAGTCTGTTTCTCCGCCTGCCACTGGTACTGAGACTCCTCACGCTGGGCCTCTTCTCGATAGTACTCTCCCCCTCTGCTCTTCATTTTAACTCTCTCTCACTGGCTATTTGAAGTATACGTGTAGTTTTTCTTTTTCCTCCTCATAAAAAACTGTTTACTCTTGCCACTGCTAATTTCCAAGACACTGATTGTAACAGAAGATAAAAGGAACCCCATTCTGTCTGCCCTTGGTCATTACTTTCTAGTTTATGAATTTTCTAGTTGTTTGAGAGGGGGAGTTTAAGGTTTTAATAATCTATTTAATTGGTGTTTAAAAATGATTTATGGAGTAGTTGGTTTACGGCCTCTCCACCTTCCTGTAATCTCCAGACAATAATACTATGGAATTTGCTGTAAAATATGCATGGAAGAATACATGATAGGGTATCTGGTCAGAATATACAGATGCCTTGAAACACAAGTTGCCAAAGTGTACCCACTGGAGTTCTGCAATGTAGCTGGCAGATGCTTCATCTTCAGATCCTGCCATATTGCTTGGATTAAGGTGGAATACTGTACATCGGGACCTGTAGTTTCTGTGGGCAGCACTTCCATTTTAAAGATAAGGGAGGCTGCATTCTGCTACATTCTGTATGAACCTTGGGTTCTTGGCCAATGTGACCTTAAATTGGACACAGTTTAGTGCTCCTCACTTAAGAGCATTAGGAGCCCATTACTTGTATCACCTTTCCATGATAAACCACTGTTTAGAATTCAGCTGTAAAAATTCCGTCCAACTGGAACTCACCTTGCAAAGTCTAAGTCTGGTATAAGGGAGAGGTTTGGGATTTCAGCCCAGGAGTAAGCAGAGGAATCTCTCGGTCACTCATGTTGGTGGTCTAACTCATTTCTTTGCACACTGCTATTCCAGAATGTTGAAGAGAGCACAGAAGTCTCAGCTTTAAAATGGTACCAAGGAGAATTTAAAACTACTGTGGAGATTTTGTTCCCCAGCAGGGATGAGTTTGGAGGGCTCCTCAAAAGGTGGGGTGAGAAAGGGGCAGGCCAGGGAGAAGAGAGGTGAACGTGATTTCAAGTAGTAACCCCAAAACTATAAAATGATTCAGTACAAAATTCTGTAGATTAATTAGCAAAAGCTTGAATATTAACTCAATGAAATATATAAAGCAGTAATCCTGCAAACCATGTGGTATAGCACCACTTTATACCCACCACACCTATCACTGACAAAGAAATTAACTACAGGGCAGGTACCCAAATATTTATGGAGTTTATACTCACAGTATTTCTGAACTAAACAAAGCCATCAACTGTAGTAAATGATTGGAGGAACAATTAGTATCTACAGTAACAGCATGCAACAGGCTATTTGTTAACTGATGTTAACCAAACTTGGGTCCTGTCCTACATAGAAGTTTCAGCACCTGCACCAGCAATGTCTGATTACATTTTATCCCATAAGCATTTTGTACAGTCTGTGTCCTAAAACATACATGTTTTGTCATCATAGGTTATTCTAACTTTTGCAGGACAAAGAATTGCTGTCATCACATCTGTATCAATAACATCCTTTTAAATATCATTAAAGGGATTTCTCCTTGTTTGTGCCTGGCTGAGGTCTTGTATTGAGAATAGTTCCACTGACAGGTCCCTCAAACAGAATCCAGTCTCACTCTCTGAACTCTGATAACAGTGATCAGACTGTTCTCTACTTCAGTTCTTTTCTGAGTCCCTCTTCATTTTACATAGTAACACCATTTCACATATATTTCCTTTGCCCAGGATTTCAGTGCAGTCTGCCTAATGTTCTGATTATGCCCATCCATCTGATCTCTAATCAGCCAGTTCCATTATATCCTTGAGGTATGGCATCCCCAGGATTTGTATGCTCCTAGCCCTGACCTGGTTTGCTAGATTTCCACTTCCCTTCAGCTGCCATTCCTTGCTTCACCAGTGTTTTCTTAGAACAGCAAAGTTAGAAGTGATTTTGTCCTTGGAAAGAGCTTTCTTCTTCAGGTGCCAGTCTCTCCCCCCACCTCCCCCCCATGAACTGAATTTTCTGTTCAAGTTTATTCACAGTTAGGGCCTGAACCTCGAAAGAGCTGAGCTCTTCCCGGACCAGATTCTGCCTCCTTTACTCATGTTGAGTAGTACCATGCTATGTGAAGTCCTTTTGAAATCAGGTACTACCCAACACAGGTATAGGTGACACAATCAGGTGCCCTAATTCATGCCAAGCACAATTGACTCTCACTGGAGCCAGTGGAAGTGGAGGGTGCTTAGCACTTTACAGGAGCCAATCATCAGCTTGCAGGCTGGGCTCTGGCTCTGGGCCTAACCTTTGTTTCAAAAGCCTGAAACCTCATTCAGCGTACGTTGCATTTTGGCCAATTCAGTATTTTGTGTCTCAGCAATTCCCTTATTAAACTTGCAGGGGGGGATACTGCAAAAGAGATACTGTGTGCAATCTTCTTGCCATTTGCCTGCTGTGGTACATACTCTGAAGAAATCTGATTTTTCACTCTTCTGCCCATTTGAGGACTCAAGTCTCAACTTGCCAGGAGTTAAAAGATGTTTGAATCTAAAACCCAAATAGGGGTTACAGTTCAACTTGTTTGTAGAAACTCCTTGAAAAAGTGTCCATCTTGGTTGCTTGCCAAGCCCCATCTCGTGTGGTTATTCCTAGTTGAATTGTGGTGTTCAACATTTTTTTAGCTGTAGCAAGCTTCTTATATATTTAACTGCTTATCTGATTGGAGACTTCAAGATCAGCCTACAAAATTCAGTCCGATTTTTGAAGTATCTAATTAATCGTTCATCTCTACAGCATACAGACAACTACCACTAACGTACATATGTTCCAAGAACAGCAATGAAGGCAGTTCAGTTTAATAAATTAATAAATATATTTCTGAATGACCCTCTGGCATTAAAGTCTTAGACTGGTGCCAAGTAGAAAAGAAATCAAACGGGGGAATCCCTGCAGAAATTTGGCAGGTTTTGATAAAACCAACAGGCATGTTCTGATTTGCGGGGGCAAGACTCATGCTTCAGGAAATAAAGTGATCACATGCAGGCGCTTGGGAAAGCATGTTTTCTCCACACAGTCTTGGGTAACTGGCTAGGCAAATTACACAGCAGTTTCGTCTTCTCCAACATAACTGCAGGAGCACTGCTGAATTAGGCAGCCCACTGGTTCTGGTAAATGCTATATTTCTAATACTTGCTGGAGTTCGCTAAAATTTCCCACTGATTTCTACTGTTCCCAGTCATAGTACCGTAAGGAGCCTCATATTGCTGGATAATATTCGGTGCCAGTTTTACAATACCTGGGCACTAACAGTTGTGCTGAAGTCTTCACTTTGAATCTCTGTGCTCAGTCTGTATCTCAGTATTATTTACACTGTGTTTTGGTACCAACATTGTTTTGATCTACAACTCTGATTATGCCTTCAGAGCACTAAATAAGAGAGAGTTGCAGCAAGTTAGTGAATGACTCTTGACTTTTTCTGATGCCAAATATGCATGCAGAATAAACTGGCACCCTCCACCTATCATCCAGGCCTGCATGAAAATTGTCCCTCCCTGGAAAGCTGCACTCAGTAACTCCCCACCCTCTTTGTGAAGATGTAGGGCATTATGGCCAGACAGCACAAAAAGGCTTTCAACTGCCTTTGTAAGTGGTGAGAATTTCCTGATGGGCTAACTGAATGGGTACATGCAGTAAGTATGCTGCAGGTCAGCACCATATAGCAACTCTCCTGAACTGACCAACTCTCAGAGTACATTCAGAAAAAAGGCAGCTGGAGAAAAGAGTTCACATTCTTTTAATTCAGGCTGAATCCTTGAGGCTACAAAGTACACGTGTCCAAGATGGGGGCTACTTATCTTTCAAAATGGTAGAAGGGAACAATTCTTTGTGCAAAGCACTCTATTCCCTGTCTGTTTCTTGGATTAAAGCAATAAACAGAGAAAAAGCTCAGTGACTTTCTGGCTAGCAAAAATAAAACCCACTCAGCCTCAGTTTCTGAGGATCAATCCTTTCAATGAAGAGTACAGGCTACCTGATTAGTCAGCACAATTCATTTACCCTTTTAGAAAATGCGACTTCTTAAATATTTGACTCCTCTAATGGAGTCTGGGCAAAATTTCCAAACTTGGCTGCCTAAAATAAGGCATCAGAATCCCTACATAGAAACCTAACTCCGTGGCCTGATATTCAGACTTGTTGTTCCCCTCCCCCCACATGTCCCTTAACCATGTCTCCATTCTAAAATATTGAGCATTATATTTCATTAAGACACACAACGTAAAATACAAACTATAATGCGCCTCATTCTCACCATCCTGCTATAATGCCCTCGCTGTTCTGTTTAAAAAATATCCTTACCTTCTCCCACTTTGATGTAAATGTTTCTCGATATTTTGAGTTCAGTGAAAGACGTGACTGCTCGATATTCCTTTTGGGCCCACTGTAACAGATGTTCATTTCCCTGAGGGAAAGGCTTTTCTTCGGTTTCTGTTGCCAAGGAGAAATTTCCCTTCTCAAATTGAACAATGGAACCTGGAGATACCTGATGGGAACAAAAATGTATTTTTAATATGGACACATTTACCTAGTATAGAATTTTTTTTAAAAAGCCATTTAATCTGTCACACAGAAATCTGTTCATTGCAAGTGATGAAGTGACATTTGCCACCACTGCTCTTATCTTAAACTTCGCATGTTTTAAAATCTGCTTAACAGACAATTTTTAAAAACTGTTTAGACAACATGTAATCATTTTAAATATCACATGATCAGAAAGAACACAAGGTCATGCTTGTCCTGGTTAGCCGAAGATAATGACTGAAAGCCTCACCCAGATGAGAATACCTTATTTTATTAAAGAAAAACTCATTTTGTTGCTTTCTTGACAGGAGCATGTGTCTGGAGGCTTGAAATGTCTGATCCAAAATGTAAGAGGAATTATACATCTTTAGAAAAGAGCTTACAAATACACTACACTATCTGAGGCTCTGATGGGCAACCTAACATCTCACTCATATCCACTTTAAAAATAATGAAAACTGAGGAATAGTGCATGTCACTAAAATGAGGATATGTGCAAAAGACTTGAGATATTCAAATATGTCGGCTGCAGAAACAGAACAGAGTGAAAAGAAGAATGAGAGCCAAATAATTCTTAGACATGTCATGGTAAGGCCAAGCAACCCAACGGACTTTGGTGGAGTAGCAATGGAGTCAATCTGGAGCAGGTGAGATCAGAGGGCCAGATTCTCTCCTACACTGGACTGCTTTCTGCCATACTGGTGGTGAAAAGTAGCCCTAAATCCAGCATTACAGCCTAAGGAAGATCATCCCAGTCTGGTGGCACAGAAGGCTGTCATATTGATCCTTTGGGGCTGGCCACTGGCAGCTAGTGTAATTTAGAGCATCTGTAGGTGGTTCTAATGTACATGTTTGGACTGGATCAGCGCATAGCTGGCTCAGGATTCGAGGAGCTCAAAGCAGCTAAAAGTCATCAATCCTAGACTGTATTTTGTGCTCGTTCAATATGATTGATGACACTGGTCTACAGTTTTTGAGAAGTCATCTGCTTCAGAGATAAAATGTGCTATTTATTATGTATTTTGATGTGCTGAATTCAAATATGACAATTAAAACAACTC